GTCCTTGAAAACATGCAGTCTTAGTGTTACTGGGTTCACCTCTTCACAGATCTGACCTGGAGATGTCTCTATAGCGATACATATGTTTATTATACTATAGCATACTGTCATAGAACATTCTCGGCCAAAGCAATAACATCTCCACAGATATAAACAGGGGATGGACCCTCTGCCAGTAAAGTTGCACAGTACACCTTTAACAAAGCAGCAGTAGCGGCAGTACTACTATGATGGATTGATTGATAGACGGACTAACTTTTCCTGGAATACAAGATGTCCCCAGGTAATAAAATACTTTTTGCTTCAGAGTGTAAATGATAAATAAAGGCTTGTTATGAGGTATGTCTCGGATCATTTCAAAGTCTTGCATGCTCTCCTCATATACAAAAGTCTGTCTATCCGCCGCATGAAGTTAGCAGTGACCTTCAAATAGACAGTGCAGTCTACGAATACATCAAAGACGGCAGCGATAGCGTTGGCTTGGGTTTTTCATCAATTATTTTGACTTTTACCCACCAGCAAGAATATGTTTCGAGAGGTAACTTAAGGGAAAAGGTGAAAGAGAAATGAGGCAAGAATGCAATAACTTTTCCTTTTGTTTCTTGAGCCAATGTATTAATATTTAAACCGAGTCAGAACGGCTTCTTAGTGGAAATATAGCATATTTAAAATAGGGCGGCATTTGCAGATAAGTTTCAAGTTGTTTACATTGGGTGCACTTATATAGCCAGTAGAAATCAGATAACTAGAGTAATCAGATAACTCCATAATTAGATTTGGTATTATGTATTATGTATATTATGTGTATTACAGCACAAGAGAAATTAGATTATCAAGAAGACCTGGTGACATATTAATGGGTGAATTTTTAATGCAAGTGTTGCATTAGGAAAACAAAGTACAATAAATGTTTTATTTATTTAAGTCCACTCACTTCCGCTTTTGAAAAATACTGTGCCCACCCTCGCTTGATCTTGATTTTCAGTATGAATTCAGACCGTGAAAGCAGGGCCTCACGCTCCTTCTGACTTTTTTGGGTTTTAAGCAGGTAGTGTCAGAAAAGTTACCACACGGATAACTTGTGGCAGCAAAATGTTCATAGCTACGTCGCTTTTTCCCTTCAATGTTGGCTCTTCCTGTCATTGTGAAGCATCATTCACCAATCACTGGCACCATTATTGTTATCACAACATTCAGCGTCATCTATGGATAACTACACATCACAACGATTAACTGATTTATTTATTTCATTTGTACAAAAATGACGTTTATCATCAATTAAGAAAATACAACTGAATAACAAAATTGGTACAGAGCAGTGAGCGTATATCATGCTGGTGAAAATGTAAAAAGAAAAAATAATACTAATATTTAAATTTCATTTTTGCCACATTCATTTGCCTTTTTTGGTACAATATTCTTTGCTGGCCCAGGTGTTAACATCAGAAAGAAATCAAATGCCTCACATGAGCTGTAACTGTTTACATGACATTTACATAATCTGATCACGTCGAAAATCAGGTAATGACCAGATTTGTTGTGTGTATGTAAACCATAGTAATCACAGTCACTGGCCTGGTATTTGTGGTATTCATGCATCAAAAACATGTGCAAAATACCAACAGCCAACATTCCACCTGTGTTTTCTAGTGTTGTAACTGTACATACTAGTTTCCACGTCTCATTGGTTTTCAATAGACAAGGACCACATACCAGAACTCATGTAAAAGGCTGAGATCAGGTGGTAGATTGGAAGAGATAGATTTGAAACTTTGACAGATGGCGTGGGTTAAAATATGCACAGAACAATGGTTGAATAGACAAGTATTATGGTACTAGTACTTGGTATAACTAGTGATACCCAACAATCCAATACCTCAGCCATTAGTAACCATTTATACTTATATTTCCATAACTGCTACCTTAGACTTAGACGTACTTTATTGATCTACAAGGGACAACAATATAAATCATAATAATAAATTCAAAATAAGTAGCAAAAATAGCAAGAGACTGGTGTTAAAAAAACATAATTATACAAAAGTATATGTACAAGTAAAAATAAAATATAATACAAAACATATCTCAGCGCTATAGAAAAGGTCGTAAGGAAGTAAGTAGTGATTGACAGGACATAGTTATCTATTGCATAAGGGTGAGTTGTTGTACAGTTGTGTGGAGTATGGTATGAATGTAGTCCTGTATCTCTCACTGTTTGAGTGAAGCTGTAGGATGCAGTACCTGATAATATTCACATTTTATTGCTGTTACAACCACTTTTATACTCTGCAATAAATCATGTTGTATAACTAATGATACCCAACAATTAAAAACCTCATTAGTAACTTTATATATATATTTTTTATATTTGCACAACTGCTCCCTGATTCACTAGCCTGATTCATCAGACGGTTTCACTTCATCGAAACCGTCTGACCTCACAGCATTATAATTAAGACTTTTTTTTACTTAACCATTCTCTGCTATTTGGTTGTGACGTATGTAATGTGCCAAATCCCGTAGGTAGAAAGGCAATAATGTCTTTCCCCTTGATAAAATTCACCAAACATTCATCTACATCCATCTCGACCACTTTGTTTACTGTTGTGCTGTACCACAAAAGGGACCCAGACAGGCACTTGAGTTTAGGCTTCACAGCTCTTTGCTGATTGGCCGGTGCGTGGTCTACAACTCCCGACATTCTTGCAAACATCTAATGCATTCCGATTCCTGACCTAGTCGTTGGAGAGAAATGAACTTGAGCGGAGGGACTAGGTAGCGCGAGCCTGGCTACTGATTTACTACTACAACCACCATTATACTATTAGTACTACTTCTACTACTGCTGCTGCTACTACTACTACTACACTACTGCGCAATGAATCATGCTGCTTTGCTCCATTCTCTCCCAATACTGTGCTGTCATTTGCCCCATGTCTCCTCTTCATCTCACATCAGCGTACTTTCATAGTTGTCAGTTACTTTCTTTTTCTCTTCCTTCATCTCTCCAAGACGCTCTGGTGATCCCTCTGTGCACGATCTGCCCTTTGATCCATGCAAATCTAGTCAAATTAGAACAATAGTTGCCGACAATGCGCTGACGCCCCTCGCCATTAGTCTCACATTTAATTACTCAATTAGGTCTATTGTAATGGTATACAATTTGACAAGTGTTTAAAGTAATTGTCTAATCAATGAGTACGAGCTGGAGACAAGATTAGTTCAGTTTTAGTTCAGCGGAGTGAGTGTGTTACTGATTCTGCCATGATTTTTTCCCCTTTTTTTTCTCTTTTGTTAGGCTGCCTGTATTCTAAATGCGTTCTTGAAGTGGGTTTAAAACGACTGATTTGACTGCTGCATTGTTATGAGTCATTGTCTTTGTTCGGATATATATATAAAGGGCAAAAAAATCATTCAAGTAAGAGGGATTTCTCAAGGCCATAATAGCACTGACTCACTCTACAGAGAAATTTCATCTTCCTGTGATTATTCATGCTTTGATAACATATATTTACTTCCCTGCATTTTTTCTTTTGTTTAGCAGGGTTTCAGTTAAATACGACAATAAAAGTCCAAGTGTGTCCAAAAAAGTAAAAGTAGCTTTGGAGTTAAAATAAGACTGACCATATTTTAGAGCTGACCAAATATGTGAAATTGAGATATTAATTTGTACTAAAACTCATATCAAAACTAGATGAAGTACTGATGGTGCAAAAAAATAAATAAAAAAATAAAAAATCATGAGACAAAATTGCAAAAGGATTGTGGACACATGAGCAAAAATCTGAAAATTCCCCATATGCTTGCATTTGGATTAGACAAAAGCGGGTTAAGTGAGTTCACATTTTGAGAAGTTGTGGTTCCAAAATGCTACAATGAACGGCAAAAGTACTTCAAAAAATATATGCAAATGATGTAAAGGCCAAAACTGTAAACTGACCGGCACAATTTATTACAATTTACATCAAAATCTCACTTTGTCTCGATCTCGTGGACGTAAAAATGAGTTTTCTGCACCATTATTGAGAGCCACAGTTACATAATGTCAGAACATTTAAGGGGTCATTTAAGTTCATTCGTAAACATTTTAAATATTGCAGTAGCGTGAGTAATATGCAGCGTTGTTTGCAGTTCTCCTTTACAGCTATGATGCCATATTGAGATACAAATTCCTAAAAGAGACAACAACGCTACTATATAAAGAAGCGTTCACTGCTTGATTTGGGACAGGGCCCTTGTAAACACTGTTTCGCCTTTTCATTGAATGCATTTTTAATCGCTGATGACTATATAAAGCCTGTTCTCCAGTGTTCGGGATGAGTGTGACCTCCACTCATGCATACAATGAACACTTATATGTCGTTTTACGCAGTTGCACTTTTCCAACTAAAGTTCAATTGTTGTAGCACATGAAAGTTGCATGAGAAGGGTCCTGTGGGAGAGGCTATCGTTTGACAGTGTCAGACATGCTAACATTATGTCTTAATAGTGTTCAGCCTATGCATTCATTTTCACTATACACACTTCTATACACTGCTAGTCAAAAGTTTGGGCTCATCCTCTCAGTCAATGTTTTGTATGTTTACTACTTTCTACATTTTTAGTCTCAATATTTAACTTTTTCTCTTTTTTTTTTTTCTATATAATTTCATCTCTTACTTCATATATTTGATGTCTTCTGCGCGTATATCAAATTCAGAAAGTAGCAAACATAGAAAAAAGCATTGAACGAGATGATGAGCCCAACCATTTTGACTTGTAGCGCATACTAAGTCTGGAGCCAATCTCTTTTTGTATGGATTTTGCAGGGGGAAAAAATGATCGTGTTAGTTAAATGGCAGTAAATGAGATTAAAATCAATAGCTATTTAAGATGAAATTTATTCAAGGTCTGTCTTGCATTAGTTCATAGTACATTCAATAAAATAAATGTTTTTGCCTGATAAAAAATCACTCTGATCTAATAGTAAACCATCTTTTTCTTTTCTTTTTGTGTTTCAGATCTGCCAGCATGCAGTCCTGTCTCATTTTCCTCGGCTTGTTCCTGTCCGTGGCCAGATCCCAAGACACCCCCCCCTCCGAGGCCTCATCCTCCTCTCTCAGCGAATCCTGCGACTCCCTGTGTTCATGCGAGGGCAAAGATGGCGTTCTGTATTTGAACTGTGAGCAGCGGAACATAAGCAAAATCTCCCAAATCAAAGTCCCGGCAGGCGTACCCTTCCACCTGAACCTCTACAAAAATGACTTGGTCGAGCTGCGCGCTGAAGAGATGGAAGGGCTTAAGCACGCCCTCTCACTGCACATCGGGGGTAATAGCATACAAGAGTTGGAGCCGGGGGTCTTCAGCTCTCTCGGATCACTGAAAAAACTCCACATAAACAGCAATTTCCTCGTAACCCTGAAAGAGGACACGTTTCAAGGCCTGGTGAATCTCGAGTTCCTACAAGCCGATACAAATTTCATCCGGGTCATCGAGCCGGGGGCCTTCAACAAACTGATCCGTCTCAAAGTCCTGATCCTGAACGATAATTCCATTGAGTTTTTGCCCAACAACATCTTCCGCTTCGTGCCCCTCACCCATCTGGACTTACGGGGGAATAAGCTTCAGACTCTGCCCTATGTCGGCTTCCTGGAGCACATTGGTCGCATTATGGAACTACTGTTGGAAGACAATGATTTTGTTTGCGATTGTGACATTTTGCATTTGAAAATCTGGATGGAGAACATGCGAGCGCAGTCGGCGATAAGCGATGTGGTCTGTAGTCATCCGCATCAGCTTAAAGGAATCATTCTGGCTAAAGTTAAGCGGGATGTCCTGTGCCCCTCCCATGCTGAAATCAATTTGGAGGAGCCTTCCAAGTCACTGGATATGGTAGTCACCCCTTCGTCTAAACTGAATCAGATTCCCAAACAAAGTGACGCCAAAGACGACTCCAAAATTCCTACTCCGTCTCACCTCCCGGGCAGCCCCTGTGTGGAGTTCTGTGCTTGCCACAATCATCCCGTGACAGGATTTTTGATGCATTGTCAAGACCGGGGGATCCAAGAGGTTTCGGATATCGGAATACTCCAGCAGAGCCCCACTAAGCTGGTCATGACTGGGAATATGATCCAAAAGTTGCGCAAGTCGGACTTTGTCACTTATGATAGTTTGGAGCTGCTGAACCTTGCCAACAACAGAATTGACTACATAGACAATGAAACTTTTCTAAGCTTGAGTAGTCTGAAAAAACTGTATTTGAATGGCAACAGAATTGAAAAACTGTTCTCTACGATGTTCGTTGGACTGCACAATCTTGAATTCCTATACCTGGAATACAACCTTATCAAAGAGATCGCTCCTGGCACCTTTAACCCTCTCCCAAATCTCAAACTGCTGTCTTTGAATAACAATCTCCTTAGCTCTCTTCCGCCTCAGATTTTCCGAAACGTCCCTCTCAACAAATTAAACCTGCGTAAAAATCTGCTCATGCATCTGCCAGTGAGTAACGTCCTAGACCAACTCAACTCCCTGGAGCAGATATATTTAGAGGACAACCCATGGGACTGCAGCTGCGACTTGCTTAGCTTGAAACAATGGGTTGAGAAACTGAAAAGAGACACGGTGGTCGGCTCCATTTTGTGCCACACGCCAAAGAAAGTGGTACAGTCCGAACTGAGGAGTCTCCGCCACGAGATGCTATGCCCCGGGTTGGGGACCTATTACCCGGATGGGGAGGAAGTTGTCACGGCGACGCTTGGACCCGACAACAGCAGAGGTGGTTTGTTTAGCACCTTGACTGAGACTGTACCTTTGTCCGTGCTAATTCTGAGCATGCTAGTGTTTATTTTGTTGATAATCTTCTGCTCTGCCGGACTGGTGGTTTTCGTCGTGCACAGAAGAAGGAGGAGAGCTAAAAGAAAGGCTTTGGAAGAGCAACCTCGTGAGAATTCAAGTAGCAGTCCGATCCACTTACACTATAGCATGTACGGACAGAAGACTACCCATCATACTCTAACGCAACGAACAGGGCCTTCCACTTTGTACGAAGAGAGATCGCACAGTCCGATCGTCCAAATCTGTCGCAATCCTACTTACTGCGCCCAACATAAAGAGCACGAATCCGATATGGATTACAGCCTGGAAGATCCCGGAGTGAAACATCAAGTTTGTCGGAGTATCATGGAAAAGGAGAACACGTCCCCCCTCACCGGAAACCCAAAGTACAGGTCATTGCCAGGAGAGTGCCCCGCGGAGTTTGTCACACTCGCGAATCCAAATTCACTTTACAGGAACATTTTGGAGCGGGAAAAGGAGCTACAGCAACTGGGAATAACAGAATACCTTCGGAAAAACATGCCCCAGCTTCAGTCGGCGGTAGAAATGCAGGTCCCCGGACATCAGGAGGAGTTAAAATTGATGGAGACGATTATGTACACAAGACCTCGCAAGGTGATGCTAGAGCAAACTAAGAATGAGTACTTTGAACTCAAGGCAAACCTGCACACTGAACCGGACTATTTGGAGGTTTTGGAGCATCAAACTCCTTTTAACTAAAACAGACAATACTACAATTATTATTATGATATTGTTCCAAACCAAGTGCCTTGTCCTGTTTGCTTCTTTCCACAGTGTGAGATATATACCATGGGCACATCACTTATGTTTAAGTAGCACAGAATGTAACTGGTTTTACCTGTGTAATCTTTCACGTCAACCCCGCTACGTAGCTGGTGAAGAGTGTTCAGATCTGGTCAAATACTGTATACTGACAAGGTATAACATTTTGACCACTGCAAAGAAAGTATCATTGCATCATACCTGAAAGTCAATTTGGTATGTTATTATATAGTAATTAGAGATGTGTTCAAATTACCAAATGTATTAGTTTTTTGAGAAAGCTGGAAAACTCTAAGGAAGGGCCCATAATACGACATTTTCAGATCGACGTTAATGTTGTTTCCTCATCAAAATCATACCCGGAGTTTTGTTTTGTTTCATTCACACATGTTTAGCACACAAATCTTGCATATTTAGGCCGAGTTCTTCTCTCAAACTAGAAGCACTGTTCAAACTTGCGATGTGTGCTACACTGTGTTTTTAAAGTCTATACAACATCGTCACTAGAATTATTTTTGGTGATTTTAGCCCTGGAGTTGCAAATCTCTACTGAACAGAAAGGTAAAACAAAGATTTAACTTGAGAACTACAGCTTCATGACATCACAAGGTGGGACAGTATTGTGAGCTTTGGAGATATAGACCAGAGGTGGGACCAAGTCTTTGTTTTGCAAGTCTCAAGTAAGTCTCAAGTCTTTAACCTCAAGTGCAAGTCAAGTCCCAGGTCACATACAGGCATGTCCAAGTCGAGTCTCGAGTCACTGCCCCTAAATCCAAGTCAAGTCTGAGTCGTCATTTCAAGTCTTTAAACCAAAGTACCAAATACAGCTTAGAATTTTGCAATTTAAGATAAATTGTACTTACAAAATCATACTATATTTATATATGAGCATTTATAGAGTATATAAGAGTTGTAGAAATTTATTTAGTTATGTTTTTCCTTTTTAAATGTCTTGACAAGATCTTAGTGTGAATCATTATGGTCAGAATAAAAAGAATTCAGATTTAAAACAGCTTCTCAAGTTTTCTCAAGTCACAGCCCTCAAGTCCGAGTCAGGCCCCAAGAAACTGACCTTCAAGTCCAAGTCCAGTCGCAAGTCTTAGTCCATTTTATCAAGTCAAGTCTCAAGTCCTAACTATAGAGACTCAAGTCTGACTCAAATCTGACTCAAGTCCAAGTCATGACTTGCAAGTCCCCACCTCTGATGTAGACAGATTGATAATACAGGATTACTCAGACATTTGTTAATAAAACAAAACACAACTCCAGGTATGTTTTTGATAAGGTAACAGCAATCTAACATGGCATTTTCACAAATCTGGGACCTTTAAAATGGCATGGGGTGATCTTAGGGTCTACAATGGTTAGTATCTACCAAAAACGTCAGGAAAGGCTACTGGAGATCAGTAGATTAGAATTACAGGAGTTAATGCTGATTGTAAATTTGATCAGTATTGGAAAACATACAGTTCAGGTGGTCATAATGTTATGCCTCATTGTTGTACACTACATTACAAGATCAGTATGTTAAGGGTGCGCCCAGTCTAACCTTTTGTATTCAACTTAATCAGCTTTTTTTGATTGAGTATGTTTCAATGGCGTTCCCTTGCCAAACACATTGATCCAAACAACCACGCCCCCGCCCCTCTTCGTTTCCCTCCTCCATCTCATCCTGCACCCCAACAGAAAAGCAGCAGATGTGTGTGAGAGAACCAAGTGTGTGTGTGTGAATTCCAATCTCCACTTGACCCAGAATTGCTGTTTAATCACTATATCCTTATTCGGGCTATGACCTGATTACTCCCCCCTGTCAGCCAGATGCAATAGTGTTACCAGAATGCTCATTGTGCCGTACAGTCAGCGAAATGCCAAGCGTACATGGGGAAAATGGCGTTACGAGTACGGTTTCATTGCTGTTTCGCCGGCCGTTTTTTGACACACTGCAATGTTAGCAGTCAAAAGGACCTTATTTATTTTTATACCTACTCACTTTAAGGGTGATTTAGTTCTCCTATATAAAATAATAGCACTTAGAGGTACAGTATATTCTACACAAATGTACAAATGCACTGTTCAGATGCCATACGATGGTGCATGACAATCAAGTCCTGCTGATGATTATTTTTGTTTTCGGATTGAGCCGCTATGAGGATGTGAAAGGTTCAACTACGGGAGACCTATTTTTGTTACAAATTGTATTCTTCCTCATGCTACCGCTTGAACTGGTTTTCAATGGATGCCATATATGCATTAGCAATGATTGAAACTTTTTGGTCACTGACTTTATACCAACAGCACTGGTGAATGGGAAATCGCATATTCAAAAAGGTTCATCCAAGCACATGCTCGGTAGCTTTTATACTAAAATAGATTGACTTATTTATTCTGTATATTTTGTATATACTTATGTTTATTATTAATTATTATATCTTTTTGTTTGTTTTATTTTGTGTGCCTTCAGTGCTGTACAGAAAATACTATGAGTTGTAAACTGATAAAAGAAATAAAGAATGATATTACGGCTAGTTTACGAAATGGTGTACATTTTTTAAAAGTAACAGAATTCTGGAAATGCTGAGATAAAGTGGTGTGTTATTCCACCCACGGACGCTGTACACTGTATGCTGACTCCAAAAAACCTTGGCACAAACTGACTCCAATTTAAAAGGAAAACTACTGTGAACTTCCCTCTACGAAGTCAATAGTTTTTTCTTGAGTCGATTTGATAGTTTGCACTTTCTGAAGAGTCCCTAATGGCCGCTATAACATTGTAAATACTGTATAAAAAAATTCCCAGCTATATAAATTTAATAGGGGCCATATGGGCAGTAATGGGCATATGTGATTGACTGCGGGCTTGTGTGATCTCGCTAAGCCCTCTTTCATCGCGGGGCACAATTATAATGAATTTCTCATTGTGATATTAGCACGACCTTGTCCACATGCATAATTGATTGTTACTGCCTATTAGCCCTTCGCTAATCTTCCTGTTTAAGATTAGGACTCAGCCAATTGCATGTCAAAGAGATGTCTTCTAACAGCCAGCGGTCTTTCAGCGGTTGGTGCAGGAAATCACTGGGCATAGTAGGCACAGAGGCATATAAAGCACCACGGTGAGCACTTGTGGTGTGTCTTTAATTGGATATTGAAGAAGTACTTGAAGTCAAAATCATTACACAAAGTAAATAGTCAATTTGTAATCGAATAACTCTGTCAGCAAGTAATGCACCTTAAGTTCTAGTCCTACTACTTCACTGTTTTTGTTACTGTACATACCAGAGTATCTATCAAAACTCTGAATCTAACTTTGCCTATGGGACGAAATGACACATTTGGTTTTACTCTAAAGTATACATCCATATAAATTACTTATTTACTACTAGATACAGTTTTTGGAAATGTACTTAGTAGCTTAAAGCTGCTCTGTGTAACTTGCCACTTGCTTGTCTTCATAGAAATGTCCCTCACTATGGCACAAAACTTTTATCCATTTCCATGTATCCATTTGAAACAAGCCCACAATACCTCTAGGCCAAGTTACAGGTCAGAGCTGTGGAGAGGTGAGCTCACTCACTTTAGGAATGCATGTTTATCACAGTATTTTTGAGCACTAAAACACCTGTAATTGAATAAATGCTGATGGGTTCAATGCCATACTGTGACACCTTTCAGGCAAAGAAATAATGTCTCCATGGAAACAAGGCACGCACCTTTAACTAAAAAATACAGTGCACATTTAACTAAAAAGTAAACACAACAAAACAAAAAATAATGGACTGCCCCGCTGGGATTCAGACTCAAAAGTATGATTTGTACAATATATAAATTTTTTTTAAAAGTACCCTTGCAGTTTCAACCTCTGTGTAAAAAGAAATTATTTGGTCAGAGTAGATTTAGGTGCAATAAAGACCACAATTGTAATAATCGTACACTAAAGCACATTTATCCAAAGTGCATTTATTCATATACAACGAACTGTTTGTTTAAATAATGATAAGATCTTGTTGTAGTATCACTCTATATTTTTTCTATCGTGTAGTCTCCTCGCTAATTGATAGTTACCAAAGTACTACAAAACAATGACCTTTTCCCCCCGGCGAGCTGTCCTCACAATGACACAATGGCATATAGACACACTCACGCATGTTCTTGTGTACACAGCATTTGCCCGTTCCCCCCGCCGCGTGAATTATTTAGCCCCCCGCGATGGCTCCGAACCTCGTCCTTAATCTCACAACAATGACTCCGGGGCTTCTCGCCAGCGGGTCTTTTTCAGCACGACTTTCATTTTGTGGCACATCTCAGGGGAGGAAAAATCGTCCACTATAATTCCACCATTTTCTATCATAATTGATGCGTTCGAATCTTCCCCTCGCGAGAACGCACGGATACCCCCCTTCACGGGCTCTGGGCACAAGTATATTTCCTGAACATTAATAAATAAGTGGTTATATATTTGAATGCAGGAGTTTTTCGCATGACGCAGAAGGGAGGGAGGGGAGAGGAGGAGGAGGAGGGTGTATCATCATCCGTGGCTGGTTCCTGTGAGAGTCATAAGCAATAGAGAGGTGAGGCATTAGCAGAGTGCATAGCTGTGTTTAGAGAGCCATTTTCTTTACTTTGGGGACCACCTTCAAAATAAATGGATTCGCTTTTGACCTGAATCTCACCGTGGCGCCCATCGCAAACAAAACTGCAGTGTTTAAAAGTTAGAGCGGTGCCTAGAAAGAGGTTACACAGACTAAATAAGCGCTTCACTTTTACTGATACTTTCCAGCAGATGTCGTTCATGTTCCCTGTGGGCGTGATGCTAACTGTGAGCACTGCTTTATCTGAAGCGTGTTAGACTTTAATCTGAGTTTCATTTTAAACCAATATGACCAGAAAGAATTGACTCAGCTGGAACTACTCCTAACAGGTGAGATGATTTGACTTAAACAAATCTCTCACACATAAAATTACAAGACCATGAACGCTCATCAGACTCCTGAGAATGTGGATTTTAAATCCATTTTGTGTTTTTTTTCTTGAGTTTTCAAACAATTTGAAAACATTTTTGACAGTGTTTGTTAATGTGTGCATTGTGTCACCGTGGTAACTCCTAAATGTTTCACTATTAGAAATACATGTAGAAGACCCCCACTGTGATGTCAATGCAAAGTATCCAACCAGTGGCGGAGTTAGCAGTTTCGGGGCCCTAAGCAAACTTGAGTTGGGGGCCCTCACTATAATTCACCGTATTTAGTTTTTTTGTTTTTAATATATCTATTGTCTGTTTTTCCCCTTTGTTTTTGAGACATTCACATCTCTATTTACTTGAATTATGGTGGATTGTAAACTTGTCTTATTAGTTAGGTCGCCTACTACATAACTGGAGCTGAAAGTATTTATTTATTTATTTGCTAATACAATTGCATTTTTAGTTTACATCAGTTACATATGATTATCATTTAAAAGTAAACTACTCTCATTTAATGTCATATTGAGAGAAAATCAAACTGTTCTGAGGCCTCAGCTATTAGTGGCACTGAGGACAATTGTTTGGGGGCCCCTCCAGGTTTGGGGGCTCTAGGCAGCCACCTACTTTTGCCTCATGGTAGCTCTGCCTCTGGTATCAACTGATATAATTATTGCATGTCAACATTAAAAAATGTAATTAAATTATTACATAAGTCACATTACATCAATTATAATAAATGACTCTAATTAGCAGCACATAAAGATGAAACAATAACAGATGATAGATGAGCAAAATATGTAC